GCTAGTCCTAGTCCTAGTCCTAGTCCTAGCCCTAGTCCTAGTCCTAGTCCTAGACCTAGACCTATTCCTAGTAGTAGTAGTAGTAGTAGTAGTAGTAGTACTACTACTACTACTACTACTACCACCACTACAACTACAACTACTACTAGTACTGATACTCATACTAGTACTACTTCTACTACCATCGCTACTACTACTACTACTACTACTACTACTCCTTTTCCTACTACTGATATTTAAAACAACAAAAACGAATGATAACAATAATAACTGTAACAACAACAACAGTCATAGTGACTAGTACGACCAATAATAGTTGTCATACTAGTGAATAACGATGACAAACATGACCATAATCACAACAACAGATAACGATGATAATGAGAAAAGATATTCATAATGGTAATAACAATTATTACAATAATACATTTGATTATTAGGAAAATAATACTTATAATGATAACATTAATCAAACAAAAATAGCCAATAGTGATAAAAAGAAAATTACAATAATGATATGAATGATGTTAACAAAAGCAATGCTTATCACAATAAATAATGGTAATGCTACTAATGATAAGACTACTGATGACAATAAGAATAACATTTGCCATATAAATGATAACAGTTGAAAACAACCATAGCCATAACAAAACCAATAGCGGTAATAAACGTAATGATAATAATACTAACATTAATAATAAAAATGATAAGAAGAAGAACTGCACTACGCAAGTTATACGGACAATGCTGCAATACGACAAGTAAACTATGCTACGTTATACTGCAAATGCTGCAAACGAATCCTTGGCAGTGTGAAGGTGAAGCCTTCCTCGTCCACCGCAAACTTGGGCAAAGAGAAGCTGCAATCTGCGCCTGTGTCGGCAAAGCCCTTTGTGATGATGGCCGCTGCCTCAGTCTCAAGGGTTTACGGTTAAATTCGAGTAAGGCTGACAAAGGCTGTAGTGGGTTTCATGCATAAGACCTGCAAGCTCACAATATGCATGCATTCGTGGTTGTGATGTTCTACGAAGCTGTAACCAAAACGAGAAGATCCCATGCTGGGGGGGCTGCGGGGCTTGAGATGTAAGGAGCCATACTCCTGGAACCTACACGGCCCCAACAGTGTGTAAACAACACAAGGTGACGAATCGAGATGTATGGAATGGGTCCAAGCAAATCCGTGCAAGATGATGCTTTGAGCCGGCCTTCTCCACTGTATCGATCACCGTCTCTGCCACGAAAGCGACTTTGTCCGTTGCTTCATCAAAAGCATTTCCCACTGTGTCGGCGGCACTCAGCCTCAGCTGCCTTTGCAATACTCTGTCCTATTTGCTGTCCCCAAAACATCTGCTCTGGTCCAGGATATGTGATACATGCTTCGTGCCACTAGTGAGAGGAACAAAAGGCATTAGACCAAATGAAGACAGGATTGATTTGGCGCGGGGCTTCAGTGCTTGCAAAAATGTAATGATCTTCAAAGAACCGCCAATGATGCAGCGGGTCCTTCCTGTAGTGCTCAGTACTCCAGTAACTTAGTACTTGCGCCTGTTGCCTGTTGAGGTCCAGTGCGAATGATTCGCCTGCGGGCCCTGATGCCGACGGACATTTATGCAGCCACCTCTGTCAAGTGATTCCTGTGGGCAACTGCAACAAAAATCGCAACAACACACGGTGAACAATAGTATTCAATAGTATCACGGCCAAGTTTCACCTCACCGCCAATCGCCTTTGCCCCGTCGCCAATCTGGGGCCAAGTTGAAGGATTCATACGATGTTAAGGCCTTGCATACCAACTCCTACATTTTAAAAGCCACTTTTAGGGTGGGCTCAACTTCAAGCTCCCCCAAGCCTATCAAAATCTTTGAGTTGGGGCCACGAGAAAAATGTACATCAGATCCAAACTACTTGAAGTCCGCAGTATAAGCAACGTATAACCCACATCCGATGATTTGGTAGGTTGCCTTGCTCGTGCATATTCAGGGGCACGGCTCTGTTTAGGGCGATTGTCGCGGCCGGATGATCTAACACCAGAATGTTGGGGCGGTTGAGGGACGGCGTGCAGAGAGGAAGACTACTTCAAACAAAGCCACCTACTCCTACTCCTACTACCACTACTACGACTACCTACCACTGCTTTACTACTACTACTACTACTAC